ATATACTCAGCAAGTTCATGCTCCCCCATCTCCACAAGTCCCCCTTCTGTACATGCTATTGCCTGTGTGTTGAGGAAGGATCCCTGCCCTCTGCAGTGGCAGAAAGGACATTACAGACCAAGGGCAGAGAGCATGGCTTTGCTGCCACCGCCAGTCAGCTCCCCTGTCCCTCACTCTTTTCTAAATCATTCCCGGACTTTACTCTTTCTGGGGCCACTGTCTCATGTCAGTCACCAGTGAACTCCTGTGCAGATGGTCCCACCTCATGTCCAAACAACCTGAGTACTGAACTTACAGCCAGACTTGCTTCTGGTCTTCCGTGTACTGTTTCTGCTCAGACACCCAGTTCCACGACACACTGCCCAGTCCTCTTTGGGCTTAAGGACTATTGGATGGGCCATCATTACTCATCTCTAGGTTAACCCTGGAATGTGAGACTTCAGTGAAAGTAATGTAGGTCTGTGTAGCTGGAAGGGACTCTGCACCTGCACATTCCAGGTGAGACCCCAAGTCACTCAGGCAGTCATTTGGTCAGTGAGGAACCAGGTCAGGTGCCGGGTGGTCTCTGACTCCCATTCCTGTGTCTTTCTGTGATTAAACCCTGATAGTTGTCTGACACATGAGAAAGCCTGTGCTTTTTCTCCCAGAAATAGAGCAGGCAGCCTTAAATTCTCTGAGTGCTCAGATCCTCATGCATTTGTTTGTCTTGTGATGCACAGACCTGCCTTATTCTTTTAAAAACTCAAGTTGGCTGAGAGGTAAAAGTTGTCAACTCTGATGAAAGAAGCTTTGGGATGAAGCCAAGGTACCACACAGGGCAGTGCTTTCTCTGTTACCTGCACAGAGGATTTCCCCAAACCCAGCATCACAAGCAACAACTACAACTACAACCATTGAGACAAGGACCCTGTTGTGTTAATGTGTGAACCTCAGGCTCAGGACACCACCTACCTGTGGTTGATCAACAATCAGAGTCTCCTGGTCAGTGTCATTCTGCAGCTGTCCAAACACAACAGGACTCTCACTTTACACCTTGTCACAAGGAATGACACAGGACCCTATGAGTGTGAAACCCAGAACCCAGTAAGTGCAGGCCGCAGTGACCCATTCACCCTGAATGTTCTCTGTGAGTAACCTCTGTGCCCGCCTGGGCCAGACTGTCCACCCAAATCCACACTGCCAGAGGCCAGGCTACATCTATCCTTTTCAGGTCCACACATACAGATACAAACTCCAAAACCCAGGGTAGCCAGGAGTTCCTATACTAGGCACATCTGGGCAGCTCTTGGGACTGGGACAAACAAGTTAATGTCTCGGGTTCAGGTTCAATAAGTACAGGAGGTTATGGTTGTGTCTTTTTAAAGATATAATTATATTTATTGATTTCAGAGAGGTGGGTAGAGGGAAAGAGATAGAAGCATCAATGATGAAACAGAATCATTGATTGGCTGCCTTCTACACATCACATCCCACACTGGGAATACAGCCCCGAGTGCAGGCAAGTTCCCTGACTGGGAATTGAACCGTGACCTCCTGGTTCAAAAGTCAATGCTCAATCACTGAGCCACGCCGGCTGGGCCGGGACAGGCTTTTTAAAACCAGGCTGGGTGTGCGGTTGCTGTAGGGTTTAGGAGGTTAATGGAGAACATCCTATCTAAGGAAAGAGTAATATACAAATTGACCATCACTCCAATACACAAGATGACTGCCCCCATGTGGACACAATATGACCAGCAGGGGAGGGCAGTTTGTGAGACCAGGCCTGTAGTGGAGGACAGTAGAGGGGGAGACAAGACCTGAGGGGAGGGAAGTTGGGGACAACCAGACTTGCAAAGGAGGGCAGTTGGGGGAAACCAGTCCTGCAAGGTATAGAAGTTAGAGGTGACCAGGCCAGCAGGGGAGGGCAGTTGTGGAGAACCAGGCCAGCAGCAAGGTAAAGCAGTTAGGGGCAACCAGACTGGCAGGTGAGGACAGTTCGGGGTGACCAGACTGGCAGGGGAGGGCAGTTAGAGGCAATCAAGCCATCAGGTGAGCAGTTAGGCATCGATCAGGCTGGCAGGGGAGTGGTTGGAGTGATCAGGCTTGCAGGCAGAAGTGGTTAGGGGCAATCAGGCAGGTAGGCAGGTAAGCGGTTGGAAGCCAGAGGTCCTAGATTCTAAAAGGGATGTCCGAGATTGGAGATGGTGCAGGCTGGGCTGAGGAACACATACCCCCATGCACAAATTTTGTGCACCGGTCCTCTAGTTTATAATATTTTCAATAGTAAAGATAAATTTGTATGAATATACTGTGAAGTGGAAGTTTCAGGATAGCTAAAGTTGGCCACCAGCACTTCATCTTTTTGCTTGGAGGGGTAGAAAGAGTTGTGTGTGGGACGCAGAGCATTTTGCACTTAAACAGCCATTGCTTCAGAGGAGGGCAGTTGTTGTAACTCATTTTATAACTGCTCTCAGAGCAGAAATACTTGGCAGTGATGGTATCAACTCAGAAGGCAAGATCACTGAAGTAGTGTCAACAGGCAGGTCATTCTCTGTATTTCAGTAGCAAATACAGAAACATGCATTTGGGTAGAGATTTCTTATGTAACATGCATCCCATTAACTGTTTCATTTATTGCAAATTGTAAAAAGTTGCATACATATGAAAAAAATTTCATATTTTATTCCAATAAGGAAAAATCATTTAATTTCACATTCACAGGAGTGTTAGGAAGTCTCCTTTACACCCCAGAAAGAGAATTTGTGCAAGCAGTCTGCATAACACTTATGTAATTCAAATTGATTGTTAGTGTGAGTTGAATTGGATCTAAAAACAAAAAACAAACAAACAAACAAATGGTCTGAAAACCAGCTCAAAGGGAGAGTGAGGCCCTTCCAAAACCAGGAGCTTCCTCTTCCCTCTGATTACATCATGTGTGGCTTTCTCCTCTTTGCTCCAGATGGCCCTGACCCCACACCACCAATTCCCCCTCAGAGGACCCTTACTTACCAGGAGCAAACCTCAGCCTCTCCTGCCACTCGATCTCTAACCTGCATAGAGTATTCTTAGTATATCGTTGGGAGGCCCAGCAAGCCACACAGGAGCATTTTATCGCCAACATCACTGCAGGTGATAGTGGATACTTAATTGCCTCACCCATAACTCTGTCACTCATCCCTAGAGGACCAAGGTCAAGACTCTCATTGTCTATGGTAAGTGCCTCTTACCATAGCACTGTCTGGTTTTTAGAACAGAGCGTAGAGGGTGCTATCTCCTATCCTGTGGCCATGGACACAAGCAAATCACAAAGTCTTCCCCTGAGCCCTCCCACTACATCTCTGTAGATTTTTATCTCTTGCTCTTATGATCTCTCATGGCAGAGCTGGAGTCTGGCCTTGGAAAATGAGGAGGGGGCTCTCTCAGCCTGAGAAAGAGTCAAGTGGTGAAAGAAGGGGTTTCCCAGAGGGGACAAGAGGTCCTCAAGGTCAACTTGCTTCTTCTGTCACTAACGCTTTCCTACTGTCACCTCTTGTCTGTTACCTGCTCTATGTGCTACAAAGAACATACAGGCTTTGAGCAAGCTTACCTCTTCCCCAAACTAAAGGAGGAAATCTCCTGTGAGGAGGGGTGAGCAGGACAGATCCCTGCTCCCTATACTGCTTCAGGCTCACCTGGTGACTTGCTGCTCTGTGCCCTCTGTGGCTGGACAGGGGTCTGTGGTGAAGGTTCATGGATGGTCTGTCCTCAATTTGGCCATTTTGAGTCACCCTCCGACACCACAGCCTCCCACAGACCAGGCTGCATGGAAATGGGGAGAGAGTGAGCCACAGGGGAACCTCCTCTGAGTTGTGTCCTGGCTCTGAAGTCACCAGCTATACATACCTGTGTGACAGGAGCATATGTGGCATTGCTGAGGAGAGCAGTGAGCAGTGGTGCATACTTGACAGGTAGGTAGATTTATCGCAGAAGACCATTCAGGAGACAAAAGGAGCAGTGCTACAGTTAATACCGTAGTTTCCAGCATATAAGACAACACTGTGTTCTACTAAAAAGCCTGCTCAGATTGGCAGAGTCAGAGAGATGATCTATTAAAAAAAGATCTCAGAAGTGGGGGGTGGTCTTATATAGAGAATATAGGCCTAAACCTATGTTTTAACTGTAAAAATTAGTGGGTCGTTTTATACGCCGGAAAATAGGGTAGTTTATGGAGAAAGATAAGCATACCAACCTCTTGTTCAAACTGTGACCTCTTGCCCCTGATATTCAATCCACAGGCCAAGAGAATGAAAGCCCTATTCAGACTGAGAAATCCTTTAGATTGAAACTTCTCCAGATCCTAAGGTCATGGCTAGTTTATTCTCATTCTCTAATAAATTATTTAACAAACAGGAAATGCCTTTCCATCTCTGTGTGTAGCCACCATACCAGAGAGAGTGTGTGTGAATGTGTAGAAAATCACAGAAAAGTCTGGGAAAGACTCACATAAAAGTTAATGGGTGGATCCCATCTGATGGCTCAGGGGTTGAGCTTCGACCATTGACCTGTGAACTAGGGGATCATGGTTCGATTCCTGGTCAGGACACATTCTGGACCTTGATCCTGAGTAGTGAATGTGAGGGAGGCAGCCAATCAATGATTCTCTCTCATCATTGATGTTTCATTTCTCTTTCCCAGTTCCTTCCTCTCTGAAATCTGTAAGAATTTATATATTTTAAAAGTTAATGAATGGAAAATTCCACCTGATGATGAGGATAGTGGACACACGGTCTGAGAAGAGGCTCCTGGTGCTGATACCACAGATGTTCAGGGCAACATGCCAGGGGTCATCCTGAGGTGATCTGGAGGGAAGAGGGGAGGTATAGCGCTCTCCTTACAGACTGTCACCTGAATTAAAGGTCTCACCCTGCAGAGGTCAGAGTCCTTCACTGGTGACCTTTACAGAGATCACTGTGGCCTGTGATTGGCTGACATCTCTGAGGAAGGAACCACTCTCAATTACTCACCTCCTCTGTTCTCCACAGAGTCAGTGAGGAAGCCCGCCCTCCGAGCCAGCAATGCCACAGTCACAGAGCATAAGGACACCGTGGTCCTGACCTGCCTCACAAATGGCATTGGGATCTCCATCCGGTGGCTCTTCAAGAACCAGATTCTATCTCACAAGGACAGGATGAAGCTGTCCCAGGACAACAGCGTCCTCACCATTGATCCCGTCAGGAGGGAGGATGCTGGGGGTTATCAGTGTGAGGTCTTCAACCCTGTCAGTTCCATCAAAAGTGACCCTCTCGAGCTGGACGTACAATGTAAGTGACCTCTTGCCCCTTCCTACATTTCTCTGGGAGGATTGCTCTACCAATGGTGTGACAAATGGACAGAAAACACAGGGAATAGATTGTCAATCAGAAGACATTACAGTAAACCGAATGGCAAAGTGGTTAAGAACTCAGTTTCCAATCCTGTGTCTGTCATTCACTGTCAACTTGCATAAAGTTGTTTCGAGTGTGTGTGTGTGTGTGTGTGTGTGTGTGTGTGTGTAAGTGCTCATTTTTTATGTGAAAAACTATCCATAAAATTTACCATTTTAATTTTTAAGTACACACCTCAGTGGCATTAAGTACATTTACATTGTTGTGCAATCATATCACACTATCTATCGGGAACTTTTTCATCTTACCCCACTAAAACCCATTAAACAATAGCTCCCCAACCTCCAACCCTAACCCCTGGAAACCACCATTCTATTTCTGTTTCTATGAATATGAGTACTCTAGATTCTTCATATAAATGGAATCATGTGATATTTATCCTTTTGTGTCTGCCTTTTTTCACATAGCATTATGTCTTCAAGTTTCATCCATGTTGTAGCACATATCACCACTCCATTCCTGTTTAAGGCCCAATGATATTCTGTTGCATATACCCATCACATTTAATTTATCATTCATCTGTCCATCAATTCTAGACTGTTGCTACCTATTGTCTGTTGTGAATAAGGTTGCTATGAACAAGGGTGTACAAATATCTGTTCAAATCCATGCTTTCTATTTTTTTTTTTTTTTGAGTATTTACCCAGAAGTAGAATTACTGGATCAAATAGTAATTTTTGTTCAGTTTCTTGAGGAACAGCCATGTCGTTTTTCATAGTGGGTGCACTGTTACATATTACTGCTTGCAATGCACAGAGTTCCAGTTTTCCCCAGCCTTGCCAACACAATGTTTTCTAGGTGGTTTGTGTTTGTTTGTTTGTTTGTTTTGTTTTGTTTTTTGTAATAGCCATCTGAACAGGTGTGAGGTGGTATCTCATGGTGGTTTTGATTTGCATTTCTCTAATGATTAGTGATGCTGAGCATCTTTTCATGTGCTTACTGGCCATTTCTGTATCTTCTTGGAAGAAATTTCTATTCAGTTCCTCTGGCTATTTTTTTAATGTGATTGTTTTGTTGTTGTTGTTGTTATTGTTGTTGAGTAACAGTTACTTATATAGTCTGGATATTGATCCCTTATCAGATATATGATTTTTAAATATTTACATCCATTCTGTGTCTTGTCTCTTTTGTTGTTGTTGTTAACACTGTCCTTTCATAAATACAATTTTAAAAATTTTGATAAAGTTCAATTTATATATTTACTAGAGGCCTAGTGCACAAAATTTTATGCAAAGGTAGGGTCCCTAGAAGCTGCTGGCTGCCAGCTGGGACCTCCCTTCACTTGGCTGCCTGCCAACACCGACTAGGACCTCCTTTCACACCTGCCTTGGCCTGGTGCCTCCCACTCACCTGCTCCACCATCCCTCCACAGTCCCTGTGTTCTTGGCACCAATCCAGGCTAGCAGAGCCTCCACTGCTGCCCAATGCAGTTGCCACATCACCTATGCTCTCCCTGTTCTGCGCCCCCCCACCCCCCTGGTGCTTAAGGCACATCTAACTCCCAGTTGATAGAACTCCCACCCATGGGACAATTTACATATTAGCCTTTTATTATATAGGATTCTTTGTTGCTTGTGCTTTTAGTTTGCTATTCAGAAATTCATTGCCAACTCTAACAATATAAAGCTTTCATGCTGTAACTGGTTTGGCTCAGTGGATAGTGCGTTGGCCTGTGGACTGGAGGGTCCCGGGTTTGATTCCGGTTAAGGGCATGTACCTTGATTGCAGGCACATCCCCGGTAGGGGGTGTGCAGGGGGAAGCTGATCTATGATTCTCTCTCATCGATGTTTCTAACTCTCCTTCTCTCTTCCTTCCTTTCTGTAAAAAATCAATAAAACATATATATATTTTAAAAAGGCTTTCATCCTATGTTCTCTTTTTAAGAGTTTTTTTTAAGTTCAGCTCTTACACTTAGATTTTTGGTCCATTGTGAGTTCATTTTTTTTGTATATGATGTTAAGTATTTCCAATTCATTCTTTTGATGGATATACCATTTTTTCCAGAACCATTTCTTGAAAAGACTGTACTTTCCTTTCTGTGTGGAATTGGCACTTTTAAAAAATTGATTCTAGAGAGAAAGAGAGACCATTGGTGTAGAAGTGAAACATCAAGCCGTTGACTCCAGCCCATGTCTTATCTAGGGATCAAACCAACAACCTGGGTATTGTTTCCTGCACAGGAATAGATCCCATCATCTTTTTGTGTACGGGATGAAGCCCCAAACAACTGAGCTACAACTACCAGGGAAGGTCTTGGTACTCTTGTCAAAATCATTTGACCATGTATGTATATGAGGGTTTATTCTGGGCTTTCTAATCCATTTCTATATGTCTGTACCCACACTGTTTTTTATTACCCCTGCCTTGCAGTAAATTTTGGAATAAGAAAGTATGAATCCCCCAATTTTGTTCTTTTTCCAGTTTGTTTTGGTTATTGGGGGTCTCTTGAAATGCCATATGAATTTCAGGATGGATTTTTCTATTTTTGTTCCAAAAATGTCATTGATAGGGATTGCATTGAATCAGTTGATTACTTTGGACAGTATTGTCTTCTTAACAATAGGAAGTCTTCCAATCCTTGAACACAGAGTGTCTTCCAATATTTTCCAGCAATGATTTTTTATTGTTGTTCAGTACATAAGTCTTTCACGTCCCTAGCTAACTTGATTCCTAAATATTTTATTCTTTTTGATGCTATTATAAATGGCACTTTCTTAATTTCCTTTCTGAATTGTTCATTGTTCATATATATAGAAGCACGCCTTATTTTCACTTGTTGATGTAGTATTCTGAAGCTTTGATGCCTTTTGTTTCTCATTCTAATTGCTGGCTAGGACTTCGAATACTGTTTTGAGTAGAAATGGCAAATGAAGGCAGACCTTTGTGCCTAGTCTCAGGAAAAAAACTTTCAGTCTTTCACCATTGAGTCATGTTAGGTGTAGGTTTGTCATAAATGGCCTTTATATTGTTGATGTAGTTTCTTTCTATTCATAGTTTGAGCATTCTGATCAGGAAAGGATGTTGAATTTTGTCAAATGCTACACTGATTAAATCTCATTATTTATAGGTCTATTCATATTTTCTATTTCTTTGTGATTCCATCTTGGTAAGGTTTTGTGTTTCCAGGAATTTGTCCATTTCATCTAAGTCATCCAATTCATTATCATACAATTATTCATAGTACTATTATAATTTTTTTTTTTTGCAATGGCAGATAGATTTTTTTTTTTTTTTTACCAAAGAATTTTTTAAATTGATTTTTTACACAGAGGAAGGGAGATAGAGAGTTAGAAACATCAATGAGAGAGATACATCGATCAGCTGCCTCCTGCACACCCCCCACTGGGGATGTGCCTGCAACCAAGGTACATGCCCTTGATGAATTGAACCGGGGACTTTTCAGTCTGTAGGCCGACGCTCTATCCACTGAGCCAAACCAGTTTTGGCTGGCAGATAGATTTTATTGGCCTAGGACATACCAGGGACCCTCATGCAAGGTAGGAGGTGGGGTGAGGTTGAAGATGAAATTTGATGGTCACTTGTGATAGAATCTTGGGTTCTGGCTGTGCTGGAGGAATGGGAGACAGAGGCCAGGTTGGCTAGTTGCAGCAAAGTTGGACTTTTCTGCTGGTAGCATCTGCAGAGGGAGCAGGGAGGATGAGTCAGAAAAGACAGTTTGCTGGTAAGCATGTTCCATTTGCTTTTGTAGGGACAGGGCACCACCAGGCTGAAAGAACCCTGTCTGGGTGGGCTGGAAGTGGCTGTACACAGCATAGGGCTGTGGCTGTGGCTGTGGCTGAGACAAGTATTGCACTGCAGGAAAGGCTGGAGGTGCTCTGAGCTGCTGACCAGGGTTATAGGCTGCTTGAGCAGGTCCATAGTGAGGTAGGGGCTGAGCAGTCCCATAGGCACCACTGGGGCTGCCTTGGAATTGCCCATGCTCTGGAGTCCCTGTGAAAGCTGCTGAGTCCACATAATGCCGGGTTGTAAACACTTGGGGTCTGAATATCTGTTTGGCTCTGTCAGCTGCCATGAGGGTGCCTGGGCAATTGTGTCCTCCAAGGTCTCCCCTGCATGCTGAGGAGATGAGTTCCCCTGTGAACAGTCAGGCTCTGTGGGTATGCAGCTGATGTCAGAGTGGTTATGTCACTCTGCTCCTTTCGCCTCTGTTTTTCTTCCTCCTGGAAAACTTCCTTGAGCTGTAAGAAAAGCTGGTGCTTCTACTTAAGGGCCAAAAACTTCTCTTGCAGCTTTAGGATCTGTTCTTTGGTTTCCTCTAATGAAAATCTCTCTGCAATCTACATTTTTTTTTTTTTTTTTGCCTCTCTTGGTGAAGACCTTCATCTTCTGTTCCATCATCTACTTCTTCTTCCTCCTGCCATGTGCGCTCCAGCTCCATCATGATATGCTGGTGCAACGCCCTGGCCATGGCATTGGAAAGCTTTGGGCGCTACAGGAGGGCAGGCATGGTGCTGCAGGGGCGGGGGAGTGGTTGGGGGGGGGGCGGTAATGGGCTGTGGGCACCATGCTCTTGCTGACTGCCAGATCTCAGACTGGGCCATCTTTCTCTGTGCTTTCTCTGCTCCCACCTGCCTATTATAATTCTTGTTATTTGCATAGAATTGGTAATAATGGCTGAAACTGGTTTGGCTCAGTGGACAGAGTGTGGGCCTACAGACTGAAAGGTTCCAGGTTCGATTCTGGTCAAGGGCATGTACCTTGGATGCGAGCACATCCCCAGTAGGGGTGTGCAAGAGGCAGCCGATAGATGATTCTCTCTCATAGATGTTTCTAACTTCTATCCCTCTCTCTTCCTCTCTGTAAAAAAGTCAATTAAAAAAAAAATATATATATAAAAATTGGTAATAATGTACCC